ATCGTTGGATAGAGAATTGAAAACTCGATTCAGTCGTAACAACGTGAGTGAGGAAATTCGAGTAGTTTTGACCCAGAAAGCGAAATTTGAATATCTAACACTTAGGTGCAAGATTATGCCGAAATTCCATGTTTTCCGTCACGTTTTTGCTCATTTCTCGGAGGCAAAATGAGCAAGAACGCTCATTATTCTCATTATTCTAGACATCATTCTAGACAGAAATAAAAGGCCTTTTTAGAAAGTGAACCATGGATGGGGATATGTTGCAGTTTTCACAAAAAAGGCTTGAATTCAGGAAGTTTTACATTTGCGTGGTTTTTTTTGGAGTTGCAAAATCCACTTGAACATGACGGCTCTGCTTTTTTCGAAGTTTCTCAAGAACCATTTGAGCCACAGGATTCGTTTTGACATCGTTGGATAGAAAATTGAATGGGGGAATCCGCCCTTGAACGGATCGTGTAGACCACAACACGTACCTACAGTAAGTCCCTTATATTTTTCTTCAAAAATTGGGCACCGTTTCTCGTACATTCGAAGTGAGCCCCTATAACCCCTGACGGCAATTTTGAATCACCCTGTATACGTCCACACTTGGAACCATTGTTGTTTTCATAGACAAATTTGAACATATGCACCTGTTTAATTTGAGGTGTGAACCGCCCTTTAGAGTTAGAACATCGATAGTAGTTCATAGCCAGCAGCAATCGACGTTCTAACTTGTAGACCTAAAACGCGGCTGTGGCGTGGCCCATAAAACGTACATGCTTGCATTAAAATCTTGGTCTATTTTTCAAAAAATAGACGGCAATGTATCGAGTTTTTGTTAAATTCTTTCCTTGGTGAACTAGAATTTCGCGGGAGCTTATGAAAGCGCAGTGAGAATTACTTTTCGTAGTCCCTGTAGCGCAGAGGATAGCGCGTTGGACTTCTAATCCAAAGGTCGTGGGTTCGATCCCCACCAGGGATGCTTGTGAACATTTTTTGCTCTTTTTTACATAAAAATCCGGGTTTTTCGCACCGTATTGGCAATTTTTCAACTAGTACCATCTGCAGAGCGTGCAAGAACAATCTGTCAGTCTATGATGGTGGATTTATGACTCTTTTTCTGCGCGAGTCCATTTGGTAGCACAAAGTGAGCCGAAGCGTCCGTTTTTCCCATCGTCGTGATCTATGCGAGTCGACAGACGGGGAATAAATTCCGATTCGATGATGAATAAAACGGCAATTGCTGCCGCTGATGATGACCATCAAGGCGAAGAAAATCGGCGAAAATTGCCGCATTTGTATGGATGTATTCGACTGTTAGGCAACAAGTCTAGACCCACGCTGCGAGGCCCCAATTAAAATCCACTTAAGTGCCCCCTTTTCGATCGATGCGCCCCCCAATTAAACAATAATAATCCGGCATTCTTATGCGGCTTTAATTTTCGGTAATTGCTCGCCTTACACACGAACCGGGGGGGCTTTTAACTGATGCCCGCTTAATTACACGTGTGGGAGAAAAATTCCCCAACACCGGGCCCCCACTGGAGGGGAAAGAAGCCCCACTCATCGACAGTTGAAATTAATACTCCTCCTGAACTTGGTGGGAGCCCGCCATATAAATTATGGCTCGGGGAGTCGTTTAATATTCAAAGTGACATTAATATTATCTATGATTTATGCCGACCATAACTCATCTCTCAGCCACTGGCCGCGGGTATTGTTTTTTTGCCCTTTTTCCGCGAATGAGGAACGCGCAGCGTCGACTCGTCTCTTCGCCATTATTGCACAAGCCCCGTTTCCATGGCAGTGACTGTCAAAAAATGCTGTTCAAAACCGCTCAGGATCAGCGTGAAAGCCTGCAGAAGTTTCTACTACTCAGTAGCAACCAGGAAAATCACCCTGAGCTGCTCGCTGTAAGTGATCGAGTGCCCTCTGGGGCCGTGCATGAGAATCTGGAAGTTTTCAGGACAAAAAGGCGATTTTATTCGCTGCTGCCACCCTGACAGAGAGCCCGGAGGTTGCAGTGGTGGACCTCTGTCTGGAGATTGTGGAGAACTTCATCAAAAATCCTCAGGCTCATGCGGTTCTTGTTGGCACTTTTGGCGTCTATGAAGCAATGGAAGCTCTGGCCATCAGGTAACCAACTGGGACTGAACAACACCCGCTTGATCTCAGTTTTATCAGAATGCGAAGCTGCAATGCAGGTATAGCCAGAAGGGCGGAAAAAATCACGCAAACCCTGCGGAACGCCGCCCCTCCAGCTCTGAGCACGAGAAGTCGCACAAAAAGCGGCAATATAGCCAAAAAACAAACCGTCCACCTGCTCCACATCCCCTCGCTGACTTTGGTAAGTGTCCAGGGTGGTTCGAGTGCAGCAGAAAAACTCCCACCTTGCAGGCGAACAGGCAGAAATTCGAAAAAAGCCTGCTGCAAATCAGGGGCGTCATCTCCTTCCTGGTGGACGTGGAGGCAAAACGATGCACTTTGAGGCTCTGCCCCCGAGTCTCAATAGCGGAGGTTGTGCAAAAGATCTCCAGCAAATGCCGCCTCAAGTGCCTGGTGGTTCGGAAAAATGCTGCCGATGGTGCTGAGGTGAATTTTTGCGTTGTGCAATCAGGCTAGTCCCGTTTTTGTTTGCGTTGTTTATGCGGATTACCGTGGTTACCCGCGTGTTTGTGTCGTTCAGCGGTTGGGACCGGGATGATTGCACGACTCAACAGTAATTTTTTGATTAATTTTCTGCTCCTATTAATTAGAGCTTGTATGACGTTGTGCTGAACGATGCCAACATCAGCTCGCTCGAGTATCCTGAGGAGGATTTTCTGCAGAAATCCGGCGCTTTAGCCACATTGCAAGCGGAAGCGTGCGCTAAAAGTGGGATTTTCGGCTCGATCAAACACTTTGTGGCCGAGTCGTTTTACTGGTAGGAATAAATGCGAATTTAAATATAACTGAGTATATTTTTGCCAGTCGAAAATACAAGTATTTGCGGAAAGCGGCGCCAAAACGTAGCTGCCGGATTTTCCAATTTGTACAGGGGCGGCTCAAGGAGGCGATTTTGCACAATTCAAGTCCCATAAAGTGTGTTTGAAGCTTTTTGGCAGTGACCCAATAATTATCGTTAAATGTCTTCCACCAAATTGTTACAATTCACGCAATTATGGAAGAATAGTAAAATAATTGACTTAATCTGCAAACGCTCAAACTAGCAAACACTCAAGAAAACCAATTTCGAGTCATGAGTAAAGTGCCACTGCCAAATAGCTGGAGACAAACGATATTTTATTACTATATTGCTTTATAAAGTACAATAAATTGAATAAATCGCCTTTATTGTGCCACCCAGTAGTAATAAAAATACAAAAAATAAAGTAAACAATAAGCGTGTTTTAAAGACGGAATATTACAAATCACAATCACAAAACAAATACACCAGGCCAGACGGCGCCACCTGGTGGGACAAGTTTGACAATTTGACGAAATCCTGTACAAACAAACAAGAAACAATTGTTTGAACATTTTACAAGAATATAGCTAATTTCAGAGAGAGATTCGCGCTTCGAAAATATCAACTCTTTTTGTTCCGGTACATCGTAAAACGCCCGATAGAGAGCCGGAAAAAAACACAGTTCATTTGCCCAATTTGCCGCTTAGCAGTAAAACAGCCTACAGCTGCGCAGGCCTAGCTCCTAGTCTATAATAAATAAACACGTGAACGCCCTGAACTATAAATGGGTACAAATCACATTCATGCTTGCCACGTCTTCGACGTAGAAGTTCAGTGGCGGAACGCGATCTGTGTGACAACAGTGTTTTCTTCGGACTCGGAATCCGACGTTGCCGAACTGAGCCGTTTGTGATGGGGCGAGTTCGAGGGTAGAACGCGCGCC